GAGCTGTAAATGTTCACCTGAAGAGGTGACAGATAACTTCCCAAGGGCACCGTCGCTACCGGCGAGCTCACCTGGCTGCGGTTCTCAGGGCTCCCAAAGTTCTATCTGGGCGAGGGAAGGCGGGGAGGAGGGGAGGAAGCCCGCCCACCCACTGAGCATGCCCAGATCTCTAGCCCAGCCGCTCTTCAGAGATTGCGAAACCAGAGAGCAAGGATCTTGGTATGGGCGGTTGGTAAGAGGAACTGGGGAAGGAAAGAAGATCTGGGTGGGAACACAGCGGGAGATATTTCAGAATTCCTGCCGCCATGCCTGGGGTTATAAGAAAGAAACCAGCGAATGGTTCAGATAGTACCTCTTACAGACACTAGATTGGGAAATCCTGAGGTCGGTGCTGTCCGTTCCTCCCCAAGTGCCTGTTGTAAGCAGTGAGTGGCCTCATCAGAATCTTACGGTTTTTATTTTCTTTTTGCTTTTTTTGGTCTGCACAATGATGGGGTTAAATTATATGATCCCTTTAAGGTGATTTCTGATTCCCAGCATCCCTAAGTCTTTCTCCCAGAGATAAAGTTTTCAAAACATTAGAGTTAACCGGCAAACACTCTCCAAGTATTTTGATTATCAAACTTGGGACTTCATTGGAGAGAGTCATTTTTATTTTAAAGGACATCATTTACATCAGTGTAAGTGAGCAACACAGCATTAGCTGCCTTTTCCCTTTCTTTGCCTTGTGCAGTTTTTTGAGAATCTTATTTCTGAATGTTCTCTTGTTCTCACCCTCTAGTTCTTACACTCTCATTTCTTTTTTGACTTGTAGTGCTCATTAAAACTTTGGAGAAGTGGGAATCTCCATTTGAGGAGCATTTGTAACTCTGCATGTGGTGGTCATTTGGCAGCACTTAAGGGATTAGAAAATTAACTTTAAAAAACCCATATGTGTGCTGCTTCCACTGATCTCTTCCAAATTCCGATTGACTATGAGTCAAGAGTGTCATGACCTAGTGGCCAACTGGGGTCACTTTTGGAAAGTGGTTTTTAAATGGAGCAGGCTGAGATTCTGATTCTACAGAACACTGCTGACACCAGGTGGCTCAGTTCTCCTGCCTTTAAGAATGACTGCACTTCACCCAGTACAGCTTCCAAAAAGATTTAGAGGGAGGTGCACACAAATGTGATAATGTAAGTGGAAGGGAAGCTTAAGTAGTATTCATACTCCCCCCTCTCTGCCATATACCGAGTAGCACTGGAAATTCTGCCTTTCATTCACTTGTAATTCAACTTTAGCTTCACCATCGACAAGAGTTGCCTCTTGCATTTAAAAAAAATTTATTTATTTGCCAGATAGAGTTAGACAGTGAGAGAGACAGAGAGAAACGTCTTCTTTCCGTTGGTTCACCCCCCAAATGGTCGATCCGAAGCCAGGAGCCAGGTGCTACTCTCTGGTCTCCCATGCGGGTGCAGGTGCCAAGCACCTGGGCCATCCTCCACTGCCTTCCGGGCCACAGCAGAGAGCTGGACTGGAAGAAGAGCAACCGGGACTAGAACCCAGTGCCCCAAGGGATGCTGGCGCCGCAGGCGAAGGATTAACCTAGTGAGCCACGGTGCTGGCCCCGCCTCTTGCATTTTGTATCATTTTGTTAGGTTGACCCTGTGTGATGAGATTAGTGAATATTTATAGATTAATAACATTCATTAAATTGGTAATTAAATCCTTTCTTTTAGGAATGGATGCTATATATCATAGTTAATCATCTTTCTAGAACTTTAAAACTTTTTGGTAGAATTTTGTATAATTTTTGGTCTGATGTGATTTTGTGTGGATTTAACTCACTCTGTGAGGAGAGGTTTTATATATAGGAACAAGAATACTCACTGTTGCAGAAAAGGAAGATTAACTAGAATAATGTGGTAGCCTAAAGGAAGGTATATTATAATGCATCCTGGTGGCTTATACATCATTATTGACTACAAGGGAGAATAGGTAAGAGGAAAGTGTACATTCTACATGTATATTATTATATACTTCTTTCTCTGTTTTCCTTCTTTGGCTAGGGCCTCAATTACTAATTATCAAATTATTTTTCTATTTAAAACTCATTTCTGTATCATTAAAGTAAGGATTTAGGAAAAACTAAAAATGACTCTTTGAGATGTTAAAGTATATAGCATAATTTTATATTAACTTGAACATGATCAAATAAAAACTCAGAAAGCTGTGTTTTTAAACTTCAAAACCACATCAATAGAATATAAACAGAAAGGTCCCTGGGAGGTTAAAATAATTTCCCATCTGACTTTGCTCTGTGTTTACAATAGAGTGTTTCTGCACAGTAGTACAGTAGGAAGACTTTACCTAATACGTAAACATGGAATCATTACTTTAAAAAAAAAGTTCAGCCTGAGATCAAACGTATTCCTTTAAAGGCTTTTCCTTTATTCTCCCCTATTCTCCATAGTGTTGTCTGATGTGGTTGCATTGTGGGTTGACTCACCTGTTTATTATGATTTGTAAAAAGACTGGCTTTGAAAATGATACCAGAAAGACAAAGTACCTCCAAGTCTTTTTATGGGACACTGGGCATTAGAAAATCTATCTAAAATCTGTGATTACCTCTTAAGGAAAGTTTTTCATGTCTACTCTTTGTAAAGGAATTAGCTTAGTTGCCACCTCATATTATAAATAAGAAAGACTTGTCAAATCTCATTAAAGAATCAAATGATTACAAATTACTATGTGGTATACTATTTCCTCGAGGAGAAAAAAGGATCAGAATTAAAAAGTGTGGCTAACATCTTTAAGAGGAATACAAAAAAACACATAACAGTTTTCCCATAAGTCCCATGGATCATTTCAAAATTATGCCTGGTTATATGTAAGATTTTAGATGTTGCCTAATCAGGTTGAAATTATTGGGCATAATTATTTTAAGAACATAACTAATCTTTTTTTTTTCTACAACTACATATATTTTGGTGAGATGACAGAATTATATTATGATAAAAATTAAACTATTTTTAGGTATTACACCATTTTGGTTTTTTAGGGGAAATGTTCAGTTTATGACATCTGTTATGTAACTAGCTACTGGAGATTAAACCTGTATTCTCTTGTACTTGAAAACTGGGTCTGTTCTACCTTCTAATCAGTTAATCAGTTTCTATTCTTTGAAAGACAAGAGCATCTTAATGTAAATCAGATACTTTATGGGAGTTAAGTTGCATCCACATCAGACATAGTACACTTTTGAGTTTGAATGTAACATTCATTCAAACAATTTAAAGTAATTATATATTTGTAATTAATATCCTGGATGAAGAGTCCATTAACATATTTTTTTCTGCCAATTATGTTTGGGCCTATATTTTTGTATCTAACAGGAATCCTTCACTCATGAGCTTGGCAGTGAGTTTACTCCCTACCTCTATATTTTGTCATTATGATGGCTATCTATGAAGTCTGGACCTTCCTGTTAAGTCTTATCTTCTCCCTGCCTTAGGCCCTCAATTAGGGACACTGCCTCTTTCCAACCACTTATAGACTATTTAGTAGTGCATTGTTGCTCTAAGATCTTTGATAGCTCTAGTGTTCTACATGATCTCCCAATAGTTTGAAAGAGCTCATTTGTCTTGCCAAGAATCTAGGTTTCTGCCAGAGTGAATTAGGCTCTAGAGATAGAATAGAGTCCTCCCTATCAGCAAATAGTCCAACTGTGCTTTCCCTTGGCCTGGGAAGTATCACGTGTACAAACAGGAACTTGCACAATAAAGCAAGAAATGACTTAAGAGCAAGAGTCAGGTTAAATGGTGCACATTTGTTCTGTTTGTAGAGCTTAAGATGAGGTGAAGGGGTGAAAGCTATTGAGGAAGGCAATTCCAAGCAAAGAAAGTGTGGTTATTCTTTTTCAGCAGAGTCCAAGGGAAAGAATTAGAAAAAGGCATTAGTCCAAAGGTTAGTGTGTGCAGTAAAAAAGGTAATGCAGAGGGAGGTGTTAAGTTTGTTAAAACTATGATGTTATTAATGCATCATAGTTTTGAATAGTTGTTTACCTATTATAAATAAAACTAAATCTAGAAAGTTATTGTTAGCAAAATCTACTTTATGCTCAATTTTTGGTATTTGGTTATTATACTTAATGAATTACAAAATGCTTTTACTTCTGTAAACTATGATTTATGTAAAAAAATCCTAGGTCAGGAAACATAGCATTTTATGTAATCTAGAACAATTTGAAACTACTATATTATCCTCAAAAAAGTCTCCTGAAGTAGAGCATGGGGTGAAAGTCCAAGTATTAATTATATCAATTATAAATGTCATATCCCTTAGGCAGGATAATAAACCTCTCCAAGCCTTAGTTTCTTTTTATGTAAAATGGGGGGAATAGTATCTTCCCTTCCTGTTTAGGACCAGACGAGAACATATAAGTAGTAGCCCCTTATAAACTAAAACACGTTTATACCTGTATAGAGATACTGCTTTGCTAGAAGATTGTCTTTATTAATTGTATAACAAACGAGCACAAAAACACATGAATAAAAAGTGATTAAAATTAGTAAATGAAATATTGGAGAGTTATGAATACCTTTCTTAAACACTAACATTTGATAATAATACCTTCCATTTGTGGGATGCCTACATATGTCAATCCTCACCACTCTCCTGAGGGAGGCATTTCACATCATTTTCTTATGCGGAGATTGGAGTTCAAAGAATACCAGCAAGTTGGTGAATCAGACTAACCAGGGTCAGTCTGATTTAAAATTTCACACCTTGAACATCACGTTTTTCTGCATGCTAAACTCTTAGTATTTGGCTATCACATTGAATGAATTATCAAGTCTTTTTCTCATCTGTAAAATGGATTAGCATCACAATAAAACAATTCCACAGTAATGTTGAGTTTACAAAGAACTTCCACATACATCATTATACTTACTAATATTGTTTTACTACTGCAATTGTTTGGAAGACTTTCATTAGTCATGTTCATTAATAAATATAAATAATTGTTTTGTTTATAAATTCAGGTATTCTGGAATTCATCAGTGTGGCAGTGGGACTGGTCAGTATTAGAGGTGTGGACAGTGGCCTTTACCTTGGAATGAATGACAAAGGAGAACTATATGGATCAGTATGTATTACTATTTATTATTATTATATATAATATTCTTGAAATAGTGACCTTGCACTTTCTAATCACAATGTTGCTCAATAATGTCTGTCAGAAGAGGTATATAAAATGTACTTATGTAGAAATCAGAAATATATATGCTACGAAATTTCCATTTTTATGTGGGCAATAGTAAACTTTTCTTTTCCTTTTTTTCATTTGAGAGGTACAGAGAGGAGAGGCAGAGAGAGATAGAGACAGGGAGATCTGGGGAGACAAGAGAGAGAAAGAGAGCTCTCACCTGCTGGTTCACACCCCAAATGCCTTCAATGGCCAGGGCTGGGCCAGGACAAAGCTAGGATCCAGGAGCTCAGTCTAGGACCCCAAAATGGGTGGCAGGGACCCAACTTTTTGAACCATCACCTACTGTCTCTCAGGGTCTGCATTCGTAGGTAGCTGGAATTGGGAGCTGGAGACAGAGTTCAAATCCAGTCCCTCCATGGGTTGCAGTAATCCCAAACAGTGGCTTATTCATTGTGCTAAATGCCTATCTCCCCGTTACATTTTTAAAACCCCCAACCATTATGGCATTCAGGTTGCTAGTTCTTCCTGCCAATTACCGTGAATCTCACTAATTTTTTCCATATTTTGATAATTTCCACAAGAAACCGTGAAAAATGGAAGCTGTGTTTTTGTCTTGGTACATTAGCTTCTTTTCACCTTTACATTCATTGCATGGAAAATTCTCTGCCACCCAGTATCATCTTCCATAGCTAAATATTTATCACTTATTTGCTGTTCTTTGTATGAAGGAAATGAGCAAATGAAATCTTAGAATATTACAATCAATAACAAAAAGTGAAAACCACACAGTAGGTCTATCTGTCCATAGTCCTGATAATTATAGCAGCCATGGGCTCACTGTAATTATCAGGAAATTTTCAACTTGCCGCTGTGGATAAATGCTCATCTGTGGATGTACTATAAATGTTTAAGTATTGTGCTTAAAGTACACTTTTCAACCAACTCATCAGCATGAGGTTTTGTTTTATTTTGGAACAGAGCAGCAACAGCAACTCAAGAACTAGAGTAAAAGAACAATTTTAAAGTACTATGAAACACTATAGAGATTATTTTCTTCATTGTTAACTTCTAAAATATGTGTTCACAGTTGCTGACATTATTTTTAAAAATTGGTAAGATGTAAATGAGTGTCCCTCTCCCACCCATCTTCTCATATGGATGCTCTGGTTTAAGTCAAAGTCTCTTTAACTATTTCCATGGAGAATTTTCTTTTTATGACTTAGCATATGGCACTAACTTTCCTTTTCTTAGAAACTCAATTGAGGTCACAATATGAAGCTAGAATCTTAATATACTCTGGGAAAAATTGTCTATAATATTTCAGAAAGTAGACTAATACTTGTCCTTTGATAGGATGGAACTTGTGTTTTCCAGCCTGTCATCTTAGGACAAAGAGAAATAATGCAGTACACAATAATCATAAGAGGAAAAATATAATAGAATTTCTCAAGTGACAATAGAAAAAAAGCATGCACATAATCTTCATATATGTGTTGGATTAAAAAAGCAACCATGGTCCATCTTGAAAAGATGAGAAACAATTGGCATTTTACTATATTTACCTTAAGAGTGAAAGATAAAGGTAATCATAGGAAATGGGTCATTAACACTGAATGAATTCATAAAGGGAAGATACATACTTTGGACAGATGATATTAAATTCAGAATTTGAATTTTTTGTAGAATCATGAAGTGTTCCAAGGTCATAGTAGAGACTTGATATGTGGAACCTGGGCATCTAATGTTGGAAGAGATAAATTATAGGCCAGTTTACTGGTGAAGTGCAGAATATTTAGTAAGCATTTGAAAATAAAATTGGGACTTGACATTTGACTTAAAGTTCTCTGAACTATATACTGAATGAAGTTACCTGGGAGAAAGAATTCCAGGTAACATAGGACTAAAGCACAATGAAACAAAACTAATTTAATATTTTTCTTTTTTTGACATGGCTGTAGTTACAGTCAAATGAAAGCATAGAATTGACACTTTTGTAAGGAAATTATCTCAAACATTTTTAATGGTAGTTATCTTCTCTCTTTTAGGAGAAACTGACTTCTGAATGCATCTTCAGGGAGCAGTTTGAGGAGAACTGGTATAATACCTATTCGTCCAATGTATATAAACATGGAGACACTGGCCGCAGGTATTTTGTGGCACTTAACAAAGATGGAACTCCAAGAGATGGTGCCAGGTCCAAAAGACATCAGAAATTTACACATTTCTTACCTAGACCAGTGGATCCAGAAAGAGTTCCAGAACTGTACAAGGACCTGCTGATGTATACTTGATGTGTGACAATGTCTTTATCAAAGAACCAGAAAACAACCTGCTTTCTTATCACAGTTCTTATCATAAAATGACAGCCCAGGAAGACATTCAGAGTATCATGGAGTCTGTTTTCCACCAGAGACTGAATTTGTGAAGAATATTAAGAAAAAGCAAAACAATATTTTGACTTGAAGTAGGTCGAAATCACTCTTTAGAAGTGTATTATGTTCCCTTAGATACATTGGCTCAGTCTACCAGTAGACTGAAGCTGAAAATCTGTTGAACTTGGATAATGGGAACCCACCTAATTTGCTGCTGGTGCCTCACCTCTCTGGATTATGTTTACTTTGAAAGTTACATTAAAAATAGATACTTCATGTTGAAGAAATGGAATGACATCACTGGCCAAGATTATTGCTATGTAAATTTGAGGGCCTTGTAGAATTTTGCAAGTTATGGCATTATATGTTAAACAAAACAAAACAAAAAAATCCTGGGTGAAATGTGGACTTAAAACATGTAACACCAAGATGGAACGTTGTTTTTTTAAAGAATGGACTTATTTATACATTTTCAATTTGGAAATATTTATTATATATATTTATTTATTAAAGAGTTTATTTTTTACTGGTGTATGAAGATAAGAGTAAAAAACAACAAAATTCCTTTATTGTGCCATTACTTTGTTGTGGTATCTTGAGCTGTAAAGACATCCTATTGTAACCCATTAATCATAGAATAAGATCTTGAATTTCTCTTAAAAAACATAGCATAAATTATATTTGTATTCAGTCGTTGCCTTCTAAATGTAAGTTTGGTTTCTTTTGGCTTAGAAAAATGCTGTATTGACTTGTATTGAGCTCAACACACATTCAAAAGGGAATTAAATATTTTGACTTTAAGTTTGGTTTCATTGCTTTTTAAGTGAAAGTTCTAATTACATAACAGTGAAAAATGATAATCTCCCAAAAGAAGACTTTTGTTGAAAATCAAGAAACATAATAGCTAATTTATATTTACTTATTTTCATGGTTTCATGTGTGAAGACTGTTTCTTTTGCCCAATATGATTACGTAAAGAATTATTCTTTTTGGCACCTTCAATAACAATGATGAGGCCTTACCTACCTGAGTGTGGTATCCTCTCCATTGTATCTACTATTAAGTCATTTATTCAACATATATTCATTAAAGGCTATTGTACACCACTTTGTTAGTCACTAAGGAAAATGTAATTAAGACAAAGGTGGACCCTGCATCATGAACTTAATGTCTGGCAAGAGAGACAGACAGTAAATAAATTAATAAATATTGTAATTGCTGATTATGTTGTGTTCTACAAGGAAAACAAGCTCTGGATACAGAAAAAAAGAATAAACCAAGATAGGATGAGTCAGAGAAGGTTTCTCTAAGGAGGTGAAATTTGTGATAGGCTTTAGGGGATAAGAAAGCCCTAGAAGATGATAATATTGTATTCAGTCACTGCTCTTCTTCCCTTCAAGAAAGCTGAACTTTTGTCCATATTTAGTATGTCCCATTGATGCCTTTAAATATATTTTTGGCAAGGAATAACTGGTTGAATTTTTAAGGAAGCTTTTTAACCATTTTGCCTATTTGATGGATACAATACATCTGCTCTCAAAGCTTTTTCAGACGTCTTTCTTTAAGGGAAGGAGCTAATTTTTCTCACTGTGACACCCAAGTCTTTACTGTAATACTGAGGCTTGAGTAACCAAGCCAGTCAACAAGAGTAGTATCTTTGGGACCTATGACAACAAAACTAATTATCAATCTGAGAATGACTAAATTATAATTCTGGCAGAAGTATTTACATTTTTTCCTGGCTATGCCTCAGTCTAATAATAAATGTGCATACTGACAAACTCATGGACTTCTGACACTAATCTCTAAACAGTGTAACTGATGGATTGGTCTCTGTTTTGGTCATGACCAAATGTTTTCATATTTCCCCTATATTGGTCCTCAATATATATACCGTGCACCTAGGTCTTATGATGGTCTATAATGGGATATTGCTTTCCTATCTCAGGATCCAAGCTGCAAATGTTTTACATCCATGAATATTTAACATTCACATTTATTTGCTTTTATTTGAAAGGCAGAGACACAGAGACAGATCTCCATCGATTGGTTCACGTCCTAAGTGGCCTCAGTGTCTGAGGCTGGTCCTTAAAGTTCACTTTAAACACTGCCTAGGGTGGGAGGGGTTTTGTTTCCTTTAAATCAATTCCTTGTATTAAATAACCCTACTACAGTTGGGATGCAATGTAGAGCTGTTCTGTCTTTGCTCTATTTGTTAGGCTGAAGAACAAGGTGGGATTATATCTACACGAGGCAGATATGTGAAGATGGAATGAAAGTACTAATTATTTATGAGAGAGTGAAAGATTTGGAATGGATACAGATAATAAAATTCAGGATACAGATAATGAAATTTGATGTTGCTAATGGACTGATATTTTTGGGAACTTTGAGAGAAAGGGAATGTATTTTTCCATGTGATACATGTGACAGTAGTGCCCAAATTGTAAAATGTTACCCTCCTGATTCCTGCCTCTTGGTTCTCATTCTTTTGTGCAATTACCTGTGGAGCACTTGTGATTTTCTCCTCGAATCAGAATATAATATAACAAAAGAAGGGCTATCGTACTTGTGGTTTTGCCAGCAGTTGCTCTAGAGGCCTCACTGCTGAATTGCTGAAGTTAGCAGCTAAGCTGGGAAAACCCCGATGTCAACAAACTGCAGGTGACCTCTAGGAGCTGATAGCAGTTCAGCCAACATCCAGCCCAAGGCTAGAGACCTCATTCCTATAACTGCAAGAAATCAAATTCTGCCAACAACCTAAGTTGAAAGTGGAGTCTTCACGAGTCAAACTTCAAGGTGGAAATGTACCTGCTTGTCACGGTCCTGTGAAACCCTGAGCCTTGGGCCCAGCTAAAACCTGAGTGCCTGACCTGCAGAAGTAATATTATATCTGAGTGGTGATATCAAGCCAGATTTGTTTCCTTTCTCATCTGGGCCACTGACATGTGAACATCCTCTGTTGTCTAACATAAACTTTATGAGAAGCAAGTATGCAGAATTCCAAATGATACGGAAAAATCTCATGTGTTGGTTTCCATTCCTTATTATACCTTGTTCAAATTGTCGCTAGGTGATTGAACTAATTGAACTAATCTCTTGGAACAGATGAAGACAAGTTTGGCATATTACAAATGGTCAACATACACTCCAGGTTGCCAAGGACTTGCTAAGGATTTGCCAAGAGTCCTCTAGCACATTCTACTCTTGAAAGATTTATTTATTAATTTGAAAGGCAAAGCCGGCGCCGTGGCTCAATAGGCTAATCCTCCACCTTGCGGCGCCGGCACACCGGGTTCTAGTCCCGGTTAGGGCGCCGGATTCTGTCCCGGTCGCCCCTCTTCCAGGCCAGCTCTCTGCTATGGCCAGGGAGTGCAGTGGAGGATGGCCCAGGTGCTTGGGCCCTGCACCCCATGGGAGACCAGGAAAAAGCACCTGGCTCCTGGCTCCTGCCAGGATCAGCGCGGTGCGCCGGCTGCAGCGGCGGCCATTGGAGGGTGAACCAACGGCAAAAAGGAAGACCTTTCTCTCTCTGTCTCTCTCTCTCACTGTCCACTCTGCCTGTAAAAAAAAAAAAAAAAAAAATTTTGAAAGGCAGAGTGACAAAGAGAAAAACAGGAGAGAGGGAAAAAGAAGGATTCACTCCAAGTGCCTACAACAGCCAGGGCTGGCCCAGACTGATGCCAGGAGGTTGGAACTTCATCTGTGTTTCCCAAGTGGGTGGCAGAAAATCAGGTGCTTGGACTATCATCTGCTGCTTCCCAGGTACATAAGTAGCAAGCTGGCTCAGAAGCATGGAATAGCTGGGATTCAAACCAAGAATTCCAATATGGGATACGGTTTTCCCAAGCAGACACCTAACTTGCTGAGCCACAGTGCCTGCTCTCACTCTCAGTTTTTTAATTGAATAGGAACAAATGAATGCAAAATTCCAAGGCAAATTGGATAAAGGGTATTTGTGCCTCTGTTATAACTGTTATAACTGAAGTAATGAAAGCAACAAGAACACAAAGAACACAAAGCTCACAACGGTGAACTCTTCCCTGAAACCTCTGAAAGACCATTGCTTACATGTTTTAAACTGATTATTTATTTGGATGACATATTCTCCTTGTTGCCCAGTTTCTTTGACTTCAATTCTAGTGACCATTCCCTCTAATATTCACTTTTATAAGCTCGTTCTATTTCATTTGATCCTTGACAGGAATCTAGAACCTGAAGTTGGGCTCAAGTGACCTTAGCCTGTTGCTTCCAGGCATTAGCAGAGATGCTATCCTGGGCCTGAGGATATAGGATATGTAAGGTTGAGACACATATTTCCTCTTGCCAAGAAAATGATACTGTTACTCAGGGTACTTTAGGGAGTATTATATTTTGTGGTATAATTAATGTCATGCATATATGAGAATATTTTTACAAATGTGTGAAAAAATAGAATTAAAATGTAAGTTTATCTTGGTGCAAAAATTAGTTTTGGAATCTATGCAGTGTTTTCATAATACACATTTTCCACAAACTTTTTTGAAGACCCCACATTATTCCTTGTCCTGATATTTGCCTTTTCCTACTGATGAAGAAGGGATCCACTGCTAGTTCTTTAGAACAATTTCAGGTATTTCTGTATAATGTATAACTAATATGATTTTAAGGTTTCCAAGCTGAGCTAGTAATATGCACAGAATTAAGGCTAAAGGATTTGCAAGGAGAGAAGACAGATAAATATTTAATTCCATTAGTTCAACAGTCTGCTTCTTATTGAGAAAAATACTTCTATGCATCACACTTGGATGTTGTAAGTTCTTTAGCCATTTTCTTTCTCTTACATGGTTGGGAATATGCAAATAATACATACTGAACTATTGTATAGTCCAGAAACAGAAATTGAATTCAGGCACACTGATGTGGGACTCACATGTCTTAACCACTAGGATGATCACTCACTCCCAGAAAACATAATTTTAGAATAAATATGTTCATTTTTATCTTTTTCACCAATCATTTCTCCCATACTGAACCATATATGCCATTTAAGCTCTTTGCCCCTTGTTGAATTATGTAGGTTTCAAGTACAAAATTTTTGTCTCATTCAGTGTATAATTTATTTGCTCCAGATAACAGTACTCCCAGAAAAGTGATTGCTCATTCAATGGCTCTTGAATTTTTTCCTGTTAATTTGTTCTATTATTTTTAGTTATGAAACTAATGAAGGAAGACAGACATAGATATAATTAGTTCTGACTTCTAATCAAAGTGTCATTTATGAGACAAGTAAGTTTTCTCTTTGAATTAGCCCTTGAGCTAATTTCACTTTACTGGATTATTATTAGAGTCTATTCTTGTAGTGGGACAGTAAAGATATAATTTTGGCCGAATGAAGGAAAACTCCAATGGAGATCAAAATTAAGAGGGATCTAGTAAAGCCGCCGCTTGCAGCACTGCATCCCTTATGGGTGCCAGTTCAAGTCCCAGCTGTTCCACTTCTGATCCAGCTCTCTGCTGTGGCCTGGGAAAACAGAAGAAGATGGCCCACGTCTTTGGGCCCCTGCACCTGTGTGTAAGATCTGGAAAAAGCTCCTGGCTCCCAGCTCTGACTGTTGTGGCAACTTGAGGAGTGAACCAGCGGATGGAAGACCTCTCTTTTCTCTCTCTGGCTCTGCCTCTCTGTAACTCTGCTTTTCAAATAAATAAATAAATCTTTAAAAAAAAGAGCAATCTAAAGAATGCCTTCGCTACATCATAGGCCATATATTACTAAAAGGTTGATCTAATGTCCATCTGTATTTTGGACTAAACAAGGGAGTTAAAGGAGTAAGTGGTGTATGAGGTTATTCTGTTTCTTTAAAACCCCTACTATGTAATGTGGCATACTTCAACTACAACTTGGTACTATTGTCATAGTGATACAGGGTTGTTCTAGATGTCCACTTTTGACATGCCCAACTGTTGGACTTCTGGTTTCTAACTTTTTGAACGGAACTTCTTGTCTTCCCTCAAATTTCAATAAATCTTTTTCAATTACACACTCTCAGAAAGGTGAAACAATTTTGGCTCTTCACATCCAGAAATTATCACAGCCCAGCAACTTCAGCTACTTTTCAGCTACTTTTCACACTTCAATATTCAAAAACAATTTCCCTCTTTTTAATTCATGGTTTCCATCTGATTCTAAAAGTCCTGAGATTCTTGACTATTATTTCATTCAAAACAAGCCATAGGGTTTAGGATATCTCCAGGCAGATCTGATACTTAAGGGACATGACTCTTAAGGACTTTTGGGGAACAATTTGTCCGTCCCTTTGAGAGATTGGTCTGTATCCTCAGAAT